CCTCCTTCCCAATGAGATGCCACCTGAGGCAACCGCTTCAAGTTGCCTCATTATAGGGTCCCTATTAGAGGATAAACATCTTTATTGCGTAAAAGTTCTCTTTTTAAATGAATACCTTGCTTTTCCATTTGATCAGAGTGCTTCTTTAATTAGAGTAGTAGGTGGTTTGCCTGGGGCACTTTTTGCTTATTTACAGAGAAATTAGTTGAATAGCCCTGTCTACAACACTAATCCAATATATTTCTATTGAACAGATTCTGAAGATGTCCTGCATTGAAATTTTAGCTGTAGAGCCATCCAGTATATGTGCCGGGGGTAAGTGCATGTCAATACATTGCCAGAAAGATTTTAATATTTTGCATTGGGGTTGATTAACTGAAGGCAAATAAGCTGTTCACCTTGCAAGGGAATTCACACTTAGCTTAGTGAATGAGGTGAAGCTCTGGTGACTTCTATCATCCAATCATGTGGAAGCAAAAATGTTTTTTTTCCTTGGACGTGATTGGGTATTTGCAAAGTGAATTTTCCCCACAAGTAAGGAAACACTCTCTTGCAAGTGAACAGCCTATTTGCCTTTAGTAAATGAACTCCATTGCATGCAGTTCATAAAAAACTCTTGCACATCTTTGACCCTGTTTAATACCCAAATGACATAAACATGAACTGTAACTATGGCATATTGCAAATAACTGTTTCCGGTTGTATTTCTCCCTCATTCAGTAATGCAAAAGTAAATGCATGACTATGAGTAAACATGTTTAATGAATTTAGGAAGAATTAATTGCTCTACCATTTTGTTGGGTTTCTCTGGGTATATCAGGAAACAAAAGCCAGCTGTGTCTAGCATACAAAGCATGCCAGCTTAATAAAAGCCAACATAAACCAATTTCCTAATCTAAAGGTATCTTACTAAAATCCATTGTCACTGGACATTATATAATGCATGCACTGGCAGGATCTGACTGGGAATGTTAAATTTTTTACATTTGAATACAATGCTTTTTCTTTTTGCTCTTTGTCCCCATTAGGGAAATTCTCCCCCTCTATTTGTCCTGGTGATCATTGCCAACGCAACAGAAAGTGGCGGAAATGCAATGTTTTAGGGCATCCCTATTGGAAGATGTACCCTCACCTCCTATTTCAATTACATCTCTAAGGGCTCATTCACACGAGCGTGCAAATCTGTACAGCTTGCACAGCCATACAGAGCCCTGCTCCTGGGAAAGACAGGTACTGCATGTAATTGCATGTAGCCGCCTGTACCTCCCTATGGGAGGATGCGGCTGCACATGGCTACATGCCACTTCAAACCTGCACATCCGGACAAGTCCGGGTGCCCACCTTGGAGGCAGACAGTGTGCATCCAAGTGCAGGCACCCGGACCTGCACGGATGTGCAGGTTCGAGTTGGCATGTAGCTGCATCATCCCATCAGGAGGTACAGGCTACTGCATGCAATTGCATGCAGCACCTGTCCCTCCCGGGAGCAGGACCTGCACAGATGTGCATGCCATATGAATGTGCACGTGTGTGTGAATAAGCCCTTAGAGACGTCAATGAAATAGGATGTAAGGGTAAATCTTCCAATGGGAATACCTGTTCCAGCAGAGGCATAGCTACAGCATATTGCACACCTGGCATCCCACCCAGCTCCTGGCAACCATTGATGTAATCAAGGTTGCTAAGGGATAGGCAGGGAGATGTTTATGGGCCATACACATCTCCCTGCCCGACTCTTACCAACCTGGGATGCACTGGCTGGTGTCCCGCCCACATACAAATTTCCCTACCTGCTCTGGTTGCTAAGAGCTGGGCAAGAAGATGTGTACGGCCCTTACACATCTCCCCACCCAGCTCTTAGCAACCTGAGATGCTCTGGCCATCCTTGTTACTGGTTGTCAGGAGATGGGTGGGGCGCCAGCTAGAGCGTTCCTGGTTGCTAAGAGCCAGGCAGGGAGATGAGTATTAGAGAGTGGTGGGGGAGCGAAAAAAAGTCAACACCCAGGGCATGTGCTATTTATGCCATATGCTGGATACACCACTATGTTTCTGCCCAATCTGTCTAAGAATTTCACTCACTTTGTAGAGATTTTCTCTTATTGTTGTTTTTCTGGGAGAGAGTGAAAGAAAATCTCTCAGATGGGACATGTGAAAGTTGGCTAAATATGCACATTACAAATGAACTACAGGCAAATATAAAAGACACAAATTAATGTACAGGTATGTCTCTATTCATTAGTACATTGGTAATTGTACTTTTTAGGGATGTCTGTCACAGAGGCCGAGCTCTCCTCCCGCATCGCCCCACTCGGCCTCCTGTGACGGAGGAGTCAGGATGGAGAGCAGGTTACAAGCACTCAGCGATGAAAAATTATCACTAAGTATTTGTAAATAACTGAGGACATAGAAAGCTTACTGTGTCCCCAGTTATGAATGAACAGGAAGTGGTCTACATCACTTCCTGTTCATTCATGATTGTGGACATAATATACTATTTCCAAAGTTTATGAATGGACAAGAACACTCAGTATAGAGGCTTCCTGTTCATTCATAACAGGAGCTGCAGAAAAAGAGATTTAAGACTTCCAATTGGAAGATCTCTTTCTCTATTTTAAAAGGGAAATGTCAGGAGTCAATTGCATTTCAGTTTCTTTTTGCCTTTTTAAATCAGATCAATTCTCTGATCAGCAGTAATAAATGTGTTTTTCATATTGCTCTTTTTCCTATTAAATAAGAAAAAGCAAGTCCAGTACTGAGAGGAAAATGAAGAAAAATGTCTAAATGAATATAACTATGACACTATATTTGCCTGTAATGTCCATCCCTCTCTCTCATAGAATCCTTTCAAGTGGTTGTAAGGGGGAACGGATTCCGATATGCACGGAATGTGAACCGAGTTCTTTGCAGCTTCAGGATTAACGACACAAACTCTCTCAGTAAGGTTATATATTTGCCTAGAAGAAGTTGTTCTCTTGTAGACACTTGCCATTGCATTGATATTTGTACTGGATGGTTTCTTGGGTTTTCCTGCAATTCTAGTCAGCCAGATAAGGCTAGCTAGCTTGTGCAGCATCACAGCTTTACACAAATTGCCAGCTCTTCCTGTTTTGACAAAATGTCCTGGTTTTGAGACCTGTGAGGGAATATACTAAGGAAAAATGGTGGGGTCTAAGTAAGTCTAGATGGAGGCATAGACCACATGTGAAGATGTCCACAGGCAACACAATCTCATTGTAAACCTACACAGTCTCCTTTAGGTTAACAATCATCTATACACTGTGTGGAGTAGAATCTGACAGAGATTATGCAATTCAGTTGTGACTTGGATTGACTATTTCCTTGGGAGGTTCCTTGAGAGCTTTTTCAGGTACTTCAATTGGCAAGTAGCCTGTGGCATACTCAAGACCTATATCTCCTGGTGGCCTGGTACTGCCTGGAAATTCCCCCAGTGTGCCTGTAACCGTAGATGGTCTGGGGTGCTTGGCCTGCTGACTACTGGATGGAATGCTGAGAATGATGATGAAGAAAAGAATGAAAACAAAAACAAGGTGGAAACAAAAATCACCAGCACTCAGCAAAATAATTCAACATGTCCATTCATTGGACATAGACGTCACAAAAAACACAAAAAACACGAGCCAACGTTTCTAGACCACACAGGGTCTCTTCCTCAGGGCAAAAAGACGTGGCGTCACATCTTTTTGCCCTGAGGAAGAGACCTGTGTGGTCTCGAAGCGTTGGCTCTTGTTTTTTGTGACGTCTATGTCCAATAAATGGACATGTTGAATTATTTTGCTGAGTGCTGGTGATTTTTGTTTCCACATTGTATTTGCACGGTGCCATCCGTGACTATCACTGCAAGCACCATCTTCTGTAAAGGCCCGGACTGCTGCAAGGTGTGCGGAGGACTCCCTTATCTATCTACTTCTGAAAACAAAAACAGTTTATTATTTAACACTGATGTTTTCATTATCACTATTACTATTCTAAGCTGTATCTTCTGCCATACTTAATTATATCTCTTTTCATGTTGCAGATGAGAAGCCGCTGGCTGTGGAGGACACATATCTACTTTGTCCAGCTCCAGTTCTGGAAGAAGCTGGCATGTAAGCTTATTCATACAGTGACAAATCTCTTAAAGTGACACTTCTTGTTGCTTCCAGGCTTATTCTGCAGGGAAGAGATCAGCAAATGGATGTTCACTAGTCTCCCTCCCTTCATTTGTAAGTGATCGCATGGTTGTAAAGCCGACAGTCAGCTTTACACATGTAAGTAGACTCTTGGGAGTTTGCTTACAGAACCCCACTGCCGCTGATGTATGGGTAGCGAAAGGGATAAATGTGGCACACGTTGGGCCGTAGGGACCTCAAATGTGAAAGCATTGATTTGTAAAGGTGCTGTCAAAGTCATGATCCCTATCAGTCACATGTAACATGTCTTCAGGCTATGACTGTCTCCTGCAGCATGTCTCTCACAGTCTACAACAACTACTATAGCATGTTTGCAGTCTTTGGCCATCTTCTGCCGAATGTGTGTGGTCATTTGGTGATTTCAGGAGTTGCATTTGAGGTCCCGTATATCAAGTAAGTTTACCAGCCCTGCTCTGAGTGCACAAAAGAGGTGATGCCTTAAAAAACAAAGGCAGTGCAAAGCACAAGGATGGTGTACAAAGCTTTATAACGCAAAGCATACAAACAGGGCCCATGCTGCCCCAAGGCTGGATTCTTCCATGCGGCAGGGTTGGATTACATTTTTGTTAAAACATTTTTTTACTATTTTTATACTTTATCACTTTTTATTTTTTAATTGTTATTTTTTTAAATTTGTATTCATCTTATTATCTTTTACTTTTTTATGTTATAATTTTTTACTCTTTTATCACTTTTTTATTTTTAATTTTAATTTACTTATTTTTTATTCTTATTTTGCGTGATAGCATTTAGAGGTGACAGGTTCTGTTTATTGAATCCCTCAGCTCCATTACAGGAGTTTGAGCACAGCACTATGCTGGATCTCCTGTGACAGCTCAGATGAGAAGGCTGCGAGTGCAGCTCTCCGGTATCAGTGTTTACATGAAGCAGAGCAGAGAATGGATGTTCTCTGCTCTTTTCCCTGCTCTCCATCCTGAATGAATGTGCCGTGGTCCCGTGTCCCCCAGAAGGGGAGGGGACCAAAAAAAACCATGGCAGAGAGGGAGGCGGCCAGCGAGGACAGAGGCAGCCGGAGGAGGAGGCGGAGACCATGGAGGGAGGGCAGCGGGGGGGGGGGGGGGGGGGGGGGGGAGCCGATA